GTTCAATACTTTTTCCTTGTGCCATTCCACATTATTACAAATAACTTCATTTCTGGACATTTATGGTTTGATTTCTTTGTATGTTTGGATCACTTGGGTTGTTACCGACATCTGGTGAAAATTTCATGTCATCAGCACCTCTGGTAATATATTTACTGAGAAAAATGGTGACGTGTTCAATATTTTACCCGCTGTGTATATATAATATACTGTAAATAATGTATATATAATGATAAATTGAGACAACAGCGCCCTCCGGTGGACAACATTGAAATTGTCTTGTGTGACTGTTATGGAACCATCAGGGTTTGTCTTGTGTTTTTGTGACAAAATAAATGTTTTTCTTTGATAAACGTTTGCTTTCAGCAAGTAGGAAGTGTCTGTTGAAAGTCTGAGACAACCTGCTGACGTTGTTTGTCAATGCGTCTCAATTAAAACTATACAAGAGGAGTTGATTATTGTAATTATTTCCATCAATAACATGCTTTTTTCTTTGTCTCTTCCAGAAGAAGGTGCACCTGGACCAGATCTGTGTTTGCCTGTGTCTTTCCTGTCCCCCAACCCAGCCGGTCGAGGCAGATGGCCGCCTGTCCTGAGTCTGATTCTGCTGGATGTTTCCTCCAGTTAATGGGGAGTTTTTCCCTCTCCACCATTTGTTCAGGATGGGAGACTGTGATGAAGTGATTCAACACAATCTGCTGGCTTTTCCTCTAAATAGTTCTTTGTCAGGTACAGTACCCTGAAACAATGTATGTTGTGACTTCTTTTCTTCAGTTTGACAGCAACACACCCATAATGCAACGGGTTGTCGTGGCCGAGTGGTTAAGGCGATGGACTAGAAATCCATTGGGGTCTCCCCGCGCAGGTTCGAATCCTGCCGACAACGCAATATATGCTTTTTAGCTTGCTTTAAAGATATATTTTGCTGTTTTCTTGCTAGTTTCTTTTGTAACAACGTTGACACTATAGTAGCCCTGAATCGCAGACATGGGTAGCTAGCTAAAAAGCTCATTTGTAAATAAAGTACTTTCCTTCAAAATAAAATTCTCCTCATTACACAGACTATTCTGGTCTACTTCTTGTATCATTGTTTCATCATAAAGAAAGTATTTTTTTCAGGCTGCACTAAGTGTATTTGATGGTAAATACCAAAGATAGTTCCCTTTGAAATCACTTGTGGCTTTTCTAACCATGTAAATTATTACAGTAATTCTTTGAAATGTTAAATACGTGTATTTAATTTGATAAAATGAAACGAACTACTAAAAAAACCTGGACACATCGATTTAAAACAATGCTCTTATTTTGAAATCGGGATTTGCTTCGCATCACTTCCGTTTTGTTACCTAGTAACAGAGAACGCTCTGAGCCGTAATGGACGCTAGCTAGTTAGCTTTGCAGACCCCAAACGCTAGCAGGGGGATAGATAATCATGGCCGACGATGACTTGGATCAGCTTCTGGATGAAGTTGAGAAAAAGTTTTGTCGTAACGTTTCTGTGGCGTGTTCGGCTCGGAAGGATGAGAGTGAAAAATCCCACGAGGACATGAGAGAACAGAGAAAAGACAGGTAAACAAAGCTAGTTTCAGTGTTGACTACATGGCTGTAGCCAAAACAACAAGACTAACATTTTATAGTTGTGCAACAGACAATTAAAAAGACAAAAAGGAAAATAAAGAGCTTCCAAACATTTTATTGGTGGAAAAATGTTACTAAACTTGCAGATCAATGTTATAATGTTTTCTGATTTAGAGCCATCAAACCTGGGCAGCCCATGAGCAGTGTCTCTGAGGATATCGATGCTCTTCTGGAAGAACTCCTGGAGGATGATTACAGTGATTCCCCTGCTTCAAAGGTAAATTTGCACTTGTGGCACGGGAAAAAGACATGCAAATTAAAAATGTTAAATCTTGACGTTTTAAAAAAGACACTCATCTGGTTCTAACGTAACTTTAAAGTTTATTCAAATAGATTTCAGTCTTGTTTTTTTGATCATCAGTTTCAGACAGAACAGTTTGCTAAAGGACCACAAGTGGAGAAGAAGCTCTCAACTCAGTCTGGAGGAAGAAAGTGAGTCTCTCTGTTCATTTTTCAGCTTACAAACAAAACATGAGCTGTGTGGTTTACAGCAGTGTTTCCCAAAGTTGGGGTCGGGACCCAAAGTGGGGTCCCGAAACATCAAGGTGGGGTCCTGAAAAGATTTTCTGAATTAATTAGATTTTTGCCTTAGTCGTTACAAATGAGTGAGGTTCGTATATTTAAAATGGATAAACGTAGTATAAAAATATTGTTACTATGCCCATGTTTTGTTGACCTGATACAAATGTTTTTCATCCAGAAATATTTGGTGGCACAGGTCTCTGCTACTGTTATTTTGTGGGTCAAAAGCTGAAAAGTTTGGGAACCAGTGCACTTTGGTTCCCAAAGTTGGTCTTGGGACCCAATTATGGGTCATGAAGCACCTTGGATAATCTCCAGAAATCAATTTAAGGGTTAATAAAATAATTGCTGATGTAATATTTTCCCTATAATTATTACAAAAACACAAAAAAGTAAAAAAATAAGTATTTATAATTGTGTATAAGCTGTTTAGATTGTCAAAAACCTGTGTTTTTAGGGTTATTTACGAAGTTCGTGTACTCAGACCAGAAATATTTGGGGTCACAAGTTTTTGCCATGGATATTTTGTGGGTCAGAAGATAAAAAGTTTGGGAACCACTGGTTTACAGTATTAAAGCAGGAGGAGAAAAATACATCCATGCAGTCTAGCTGGGAATAAATGTAATGAGTTGTGGGCAGCACTAATCTAAAAATTAGTTCCACTAGCCCTAAAACACTAACTCAGATATTTAGGTCCACTAATTCTAAAGCACTAACACACTGAAAATTTTAGCTAAAGCTAATTCTAAAGCACTAAAATAACCCAGTCAACCCATGAACATTCTTCAACAGAAAACATGAGTCACATGTTGCCATGTTGCTCTCTTAATACTTATCATTGATATTCCACAGCTGTATTTGGGTTCATATATTGTCAATATATAACTGGTGAATAAGTGACACATATGAACAAAATGTGCGACAGCTTTCACCCTCAGCTGTTAATATTTTTTTTACCACTTCAGTAGAAAGCAGTACTAAATAGGGTTGGGCAATATTGGCAAAAAATTAATCACGATTAATTGGTGTATTTAGCCGATAACGATTAACTTAACAATTAATCACCGTGAGTCCCTTATGTCACATGACCAGTTTAGGGGGAAAGATTTGCTCTTCGTAAAAATCTGTTCCAAGTTGTGTCAAAATTACAGACTTCAGGCTATACATCAAATTTTAAATTGTGTTGACAGATAAATAAATTACTGAACTTTTTTTTAATGTTTGTCATATTTGAAGTGAAGAGGAGCACAGAGCGGACTGACTGGAGCCATTAAATCGTATTAATCGTCAAGAGCCAAAAAATAATCGATTAATGTTTTTGTGACGATAAATTGCACAGAATACGATTATGCCCAACCCTAGTACTAAATATTGGAATATTAGTATCTTAGCTTCTTCATCATCGTGGCTTTTTTTTAGATAGACAAGAAAGAAGAAAAAAGAAGGAAAGGAAAGAAAAGTTACAATGTAATGGAAAAAAGTGAAAGAATTGATGATATGTGAGATATACGTCAAGAAAACAATATAATACATCCAACATCTGTCTGCACACCTGCAAAGAATTAAGGTTACAAAACTTAGCAAAAGCATAGATATATACARTTAGACAGATAAACAAACACCCACCTATATATACCTGGTGATCTTTCAGAACCCCTCGGATCTGAGCTCAGCTGTTAACATTAACGTTGATCAATAACATTTATAGACCTCAGTTAGTGCTTCTAAATTTAGCCTATAAAATTAGCAAATGCTAATCCACTAATAAATTTTAAAATTAGCAAAAGCCCTAAAGCACTAATCAGGAAATTAGCTCCCCTATTAGTGCTTTAGTGCTTTAGGGGAAATGTGATATTTTAAAAGAAATTCCAAAAAAATAAAAATAAAAAAGGCATGTCCCAAAGCAGTTACAGTAAAGTTATAACTTACACAAACTTTTTCAAATTGTTTCCTCAGGGTCTGACATAAAGAAAAGGCGTTATTCCTGTCATTTTTTGTGTTTCTAACATGTTGGTTTATTTCCTGGGACTGGGAGCTGATCTGAACGGTCTGTTCTACATCCAGGTGCTGTCCTGTTTTCCTTGGCGGGAGCTCAGTCACAAATGGCGTCGGAACAGCTACATCCAAGAGGTGTGGAGAAAAAACTTCTCACCGTTTTGTGTCGCGTCTTGTCTGCTTTTCTTTGTCAAGGCGCGGCGATGGAATTTGATCTTTTGAAAGAATATTCACCATTAAATGTTTTTAACTACACACGTCGATGTGCTGCTAATTAGATTTACTGAACTTGAGACGTGTGAATCAACAGGTCATGTGACCAGCTGCGGTGTGTATCCTGTGACTTCCGGGTGCTGACGTTTGACGATTCTGAATGGGATGCGTCCTGTGATTACCTGTTCCTGAGGTCAGTCTGTAGGCTTGCTCACATGCACAGCATAAAATTCACTTAAAAACAACAGATTTCCCACTCTGTGTGATCAAACCTTAGTTTTACTTGTGGTGTTGACAATAAATCCAATGTGTTCTGAGAGCTTAAAACGAGAGGCTCATGTGGTTAACTTGACAGTGATAGATCAGGTCCAGTTTGTTATTCAGAACCATCTGGGAAGTAAATATTTATTCGTTTTTTATTAACTTTTTTCATTTAGTTAAAAAAAACAAAACAAAAAAAAAACATTTACATACAACAAAACAATACAAATCAAATAAAATGAAAGGCACCAGAAGAAGAAAAAATCTTATATC